TAACTTCATAAAATCTGAATGAGAGAGTTCAAGCCTACACTTTTATTTTTAATTGTGTGCCTGTGTGCATGTGAGTACAGGTGTCCTCAAAGGACAGAAGAGGGCATCAGGTTCCGTGAAGGTGGAGTAACAGGTGGTTGTGAGCTACCCACTATGGGTGCTGGGAACCAAACTTGGGTCTTTTGCAAGAGCAGTACTCACTCTTAATCACTGAGCCAGTTCTCCAGCCTGAAGCCTATGTTTTTGTCTTGATAACTAATCACAGCCTTTTTACAAAGGATTTCTTCATTTGTAAAGTAATGTCTATTCACTTAAAAGATGGAACAAGAAAAGTGGCTGCTCTGACTGCTGTCAATATACAGCAGAAAACCCCATTGCTGACAGTAATGCTGGGCAGGCGTTCCTGGTCATTAAAGATATAAACAGTATCCATAGGGCTGGGTAAAGTACTTGCTGTTCAAACACAAGGACCTGAGTTCAGATCAGAGCCCCAGAACCTATGTAGAAGGCTGAACTGTAGTGGTACATGCCTGTAATCCCAGCACTGGGACCAAGACAGGAAGTCTCCATAGATAAACCATAGATAAGTCTGCATAGATAAACCACCAGCCATTCTGGCCAATCAGTGACCCCTAGGTTCAGTGAGAGACCCATCTTAGAATGTAAGGTGGAGAGAGATGGAAGAAGATATCTGTCATCACCTTCTGCCCCCTACAAGTGTATGCACAGGTACACACACTTGTGCACCCATACACATGTGCGCACACACATACACACACCACATATACACAAATACAATACAATAAGATAAAAAAATTAAATCATATGAGGATTGATGAGATGGGCAATGGCTTGATGGGTAAAGACACTTGCTGCCAAGCCTGATGACATGTTTAATTCCTGGAACCTATAAGGTGGAAAGAGAGCATCAGTTCCCACAAGTTGTCCTCTGACTTACACACACATACACACACACACACACACATACACAAATAAATAAATATAAAAAAGATATTATAAAACATTTGAATTAAAACCAAAATAAATTTAGAAAAAATAGCCAAATTCACTAGGCTTTCTCTAGGGAACCAAATCAATGAGACCAAAAGAACATGGGGCTGCCAGTGGCAGCCTTCCGCAAGTACACTGGGTTTAAGTATAAGGACCACAGAATAGGAAATAATGCTTAATGGGTCAAGTACTATGCTGGAAGATACACAAAGAGAGTTATACTTAATCCTTCCCACAAGGATCTGAGTTAGATGTTACTTCCAGTGGACTTGAAGCTAAAAAGCTTAAACTCACACAGGTAGTAACCTGCAAGGCTGGGCTGTGGACCCAGGGCTGTGGAACCCTAGAACAGGTCTTCTCCTCGGGTTTGGAGGGGCTGTTCACAGCAGGGGTGGATGACTGTTGACTTCTCCTTTGCACTGCAGGATGTGGAGCAGCCGCTCCTCACCAGATGTGGGGGAAGATCAGACATACAACAACGGACTCAGTCTCCGTACCTTGACATGTGCTAGGAGGAGTTGGGGTGAAAAATACACATTGACCCAGCTGAGAACCCCTCTAGAGGATGAAGGATTTGACCCCATCTCTGTTAAACACATTTCCCTGTCCACTGTGGATTTCTAAAAGGTTCTCTGCTTACCTTTTTCTAATGTTTCACCTTAAAATGCTAAATTATAGGTATTGTGGTTTACACCTGTCATACTGCAGCACTTGGAAGGCTGAGGCAAGAGGATAGTTGTGAGTTCCAGGGCAGTCTGAGCTGGAAGGAGACCTTATCTTTAAATAAAATCTCCCCAAGTTGGGTGTGATGGCCAAGCTGGGTGTGAGATTAAGGCCAGCCTGGTCTACATAGGTGAGTTCCAGGCCAGCAGCTACAGCTATAGGGAGACCTTGCCTTAAAAAGACCAAAAAAAAAAAAATCCAAATGTTAAATTATAATAGCATGTTTATTGTAGCAGATGAAAATACATAAAGGGGCTGGAGAGATGGCTCAGTGGTTAAGAGCAGACTGCTCTTACAGAGGACCCGGGTTCGATTCCCAGCATCCACATGGCAGCTGACAGCTGTCTGTAACTCCAGTTCCAGGGAAATCCGATGCCTTCTTCTGACCTCCACAGGCATTGCAAGACATGGGTGCACTTACATACATGGAGGTAATACACTCATACACATAAAATAAAATAAATAAAATATTTTTAGAAAAGAAAATACATAAATAACTATATGTTCTGCATAGATAAACCACAGCTCTATCTCAAAATGAGGCATTTATCTGGAGCCTGGCTTTTTTTTTTTTTTTGAGACAAGGTCTCATTCTGTAGGCTACAGCTCACTCCTAGGCACTGGATCTCCTGGAGATAGAGTTACTGGAGGTTGTGATCCACCCTACATGAATGCTGGGAACCAAACTTGGGTCCTCTGCAAGAGCAACAAGTGCTCTTAACTGTTAACCCATTTCTCCAGCCCTAAGGTGGACAAGTTTTAAAATCAGTTAATACCTCATCAAGCAGACACAACAAAGGTCTATGAGTTGGGAGACCTAAGCTCTGGTTTCATGACTCAGAAAATGTGAAGAAGTCACATGATCCCTTGTGCACATTTCCTTATATGGGTTATCATGTAACCTGCCTATTTCCAAGAAATGTTTCTGTGGGCTGATTGAATGACTAAATATTATTATAATGTAGAAATTAAGACAAGGGACTAGAGAGATGGCTCAGTGGTTCTTGCGGAGAACCCTGGTTCAGTTCCCAGCACCCACATTGTAGTTAACAACTGTCTGTAACTCCAGTTCCAGGGGATGCCCTCTTCTGACTGGAAAGGAAAGATCTGTCTTTTCCAGTTGTCTTCTTTTCCTCTCTGTTGGAGCTGAAAAAAAAATGGGAAGAGGTGGGGAACAGCCTCACTTGCTAGCCACATCACTGTTGGAGAATATGGATGCTGCACTGAAGAGTAGAAGGAATACACACCATGCAGCTCCTGTATCAAGGAAGTGCCAAGGATGACTGAATAAACGAATTGATGTGCTTCAGAAGAGACCATCAGAGATGGAGGGGAGATGGCTCAGCAGTTAAGAGCACTGGATGCTCTTACAGAGGATCTGGATTCAATTCCTACTACACACACAGTGGCTAACTATTGGTAACCACAGTTCCAGGGGAGCCGACGCCCTCTTCTGACCTCCACAGGCATTGCAAGACATGGGTGCACTTACATACATGGAGGTAATACACTCATACACATAAAATAAAATAAATAAAATATTTTTAGAAAAGAAAATACATAAATAACTATATGTTCTGCATAGATAAACCACAGCTCTATCTCAAAATGATCTGACATGGCCTCTTTGCCTGCTTGCAGTAGCATAAGGTGTCTTGGCAAGTAGTCTTATTTCCCAATGGTTCTCCTCCTCAACTGAAATACATGCAATATTTCTTGTTGGACAATCTGAGTGTTTCTTACATTTTCCAGAGTGAGTTTTGGAGGATGGGTATCTGAAATGCAGCCAGCCTCTTTAGGGGTCCTTGAACAAGTGACTCTGACCTATCAGCCTAGAGAGGCACTGAGCCCTGTCATCCAAGGATGCAGGATAGAAGTCAGGTAAGAAACTGCCCAACTTTGTTGTGCCTACTGATGAAGGGCACAACCAGATTGGCACAGTTTCTCCTCTCTCCCAGTCGGATAGGAGAACATGCTGCCAGGGATAGGTGGCTAAGAGTGGCACTCCCCCAGACAAGTCCCCAGGGAGGAAGGCTGTGGGCAGATGTGCTTGATGTCTTACTAAGAGCTTGGTCTGCCACTCTGCCCCAGAGGACTCTGGGGAAAACCATACTCCCTTCCCAGAATGACACACCTCCCAAATCTCCTGCATAGCCTGAGAGGCATCCCCTCTTCTCTCCACTCTGAGAGGCGTTCTGGGGACAAAAGGAACTGGAGGCCAGTTGAAGGAGGGGATGTTTCTTCTCTGGAAGCTGAGGAACCTGCTGAACAGGAAGCAGCACACTCCTTCAGTGAGGGCTGGGGAGCTGCCTCCCTGCCTAGACAGCAGATTCAAGGAAGACTTCAGATGGATTCCTACAGCCAGCTGGTAACACTTGCATTTTAAAACCTGTCCCCCTGACTCCCACCCACACCACCCACACCACCACCCTGGGCTGGAGAGATGGTTCAGCAGTTAGAAGTGTTTGCTGGTCTTGCAGAGGACCTGAGTTCAGTTCCCAGTACCCATATGGCAACTCACAACTGTCTGTATCTCCAGTTCTAGGGGATCCAACACCTTCTTCTGGCCTCCTCAGGCACCAGATGCACACATGGTGCAATTACATATATGTAGGCAAAAGACTCATACACATAAAAAATTAAAATAATAGAAGGAGTCCAGCCCTCCTTAATGAGGAAGGGTCACCGGTATGCCTTATTAGACTTTGAGAGTGGAAACCCTGCTTCTGTGCTTTGGGAGTCCCTTGTGAAAAAATAAGAAAGCCTCAGGAAGGAGACTTGGCAAGTAATTTCCGTATCCCATCCATCTAACACCCAGAGCAGGGTATTTGATTCATTGAGTGTTAGTCAGATCAAGACTGCTGGAATGGATTGATCCATGGATCCATGGATGCACGGATGCATGGATGTGTGGATGGATGCATAGATGGATGTGTCCCTTAACACATGGATAGGTGGTGCATGGACACACTGACGAATGGACAGATGCATGAATACATGGATGGAGGGATGAACACATGATAAATTGTATGCATACATCCATGCATCAATACATGCATACATACGTGACAGACGCATATATACATGGATGCATGCATAGATGGATGGTTACATGTACACATGGATGGATGGATGGATGAATGGATAGATAGATGAAACGATTCTTTTTTATTCTCGGGCCCGCCCACCCGCTGTCAACTTTCCAAGAGGCTCAGATCCCATCCCGCGCGGCACCCGGCTGGCGCCCCCGCGCGGCCAGCGCTCACCTTGTGCTGCTTCCACGTGGCCCCTAGCGGTTTCACCTCATGCTTGGTGTGCCTTCCTTCCTCCAGGCACAGGTAGCACACAGGGCTCTGGCAGCTCACGCAGTACATGCTGTAGTTCTCCATGTCGTGCTCCGGGCATGTGGGGAACTTCCGCACCGCGCCAGCACCGGCGCCCCCTGGGCTCCTGCAGCCGCCTGCGCTGGGGACAGTGGCTGTGGCGGCTGTAGCAGGGGCAGCCTCCGGGGCCGCCGGCGGCGGCGGCGGTGGCTGAACCAGGCGATGCTTAGCAAAGGGGCCTCGGGACGGGTGGCACTTGAGCTGGCAGGTGGCGCAGTAGAGCACGTCGCATTGCTCGCACAGAGTGGCTGCCGGCTCCGGCGGGGTGCGGTCGCACAACTGGCAGATGGCCACGGCTGGGGCTACCGACGCCCCCAGCGCAGCCCCGCGGCCCTGCTGGTACCGCTGCACGATGCCTTCCAGCAGCCGGTTGCGCTGGAAGCCGCGCAGCCCGCGGTGATCCAGGGAGGCGCTGCGGTGGCACTGCGGGCAGGTGATGGAGCTGGAGGAGCAGAGCGAGGAGCAGGCGGCGCCCCGGGCCGCGGCGGCGGAGGAGCCAGGGGGCGCCGGCACCATAGGCAGCACACGGACCCCGTTGGGGGACTTGAGGCTGGGCGTGTAGGAGCCATAACCGCTGTCCGTCTCGCTGTACAAGCTCAGCTTGTCCGCGTGCTCTCCGCCACCTGCCGCCCCGCCGCTCGGGCCTCCCGTTGCGCTCGCGCCCGCGCCTCCGCAGGTCCCGCTGGCCGCAGAGTCCTGATCCGGAGGGGGCGCGGCGGCAGCGGCACCCCGAGAAAGCAAGAGCGGCGGGGGCAGGTGCTGCTCTCCGTCTGGGGTCTGCACGGCGATGGTGCGGGCGCACGGCAGGCAGACATTGTGAGTGCAGGGCAGGATAATGGGCTCCCGGAACAGAGAGCCGCACACTGGGCACTTCAGTTCCTCCTCCATCGCCGCGCCCGCGGCCCGAGGCTCTCTGGACCCTGGAAGAATGGCCAAAGCTCCGAAGACAGGCGCAGAGGGACCAGCGAGGTCAGCGCCGCTGAGACGGGAGGCGGGGGCATCAAGCGGGCATCCCTTCTTCACCCGCGAGGGGCACGCCCCCTCTGTCCTGAGGCCACCGCCCTAAGAGGTTTGGCGGCCGGAGAAGGGAGGGGCCTCACCTTCTGCGGGGCGAGACTCCTGCACCACCATCCGCCTCCGGAGGTGGCCTCTGAGGTCCCCCAGGTGATGAATCAGCAGCAGCAGCGGTGCCTCCACGCCGGACTCATAGCCAGCTGGGCTACCGAGCCTTGGCTGCGCCCCGCAGCACCGGAGAGGTTTCCTTCCGCCAGTGCCCCGCCCCTATCCAGCGCTTGGCAGGTGCACAGGCCACTGGGCCAGGACTGGTTCAGCACCATCAAAGGCGGACAGCGCCCGCGAGCTGATGGAGTTGTGGGTCTCAGACTCCCGCGTGCTCACCGCCCGCCAGGTCGCAGCGCTTCGGGAGCCACGTCTGCATCCATCAGCCCGGAGGCCGCCTCTCCGCCCTCCCCAGCAGCTGCGCCCAGGAATGCGTCCCCGCAGGCCAGTATTGACCCGCGTGCCCAGCTCGACTCCCTGGCAGATGCTCCCGCGGCGCCCCTGACCTTGGCCGCGCCACGCGGCAGCAGCGGACGGGGGGCGAGCGCCCGCTGGCTCGGGGATCCCCTCCGGCCTCGCAGCCTCTCGCGCCCGCCGCGCCGAGCGCCCAGGAGTTGTAATTTCCAGAGCGAGAGTAACGGGGCGGGGAAGGGGGGCGGGAGGCGGGGAACAAGGCGTCAGCTCAGCGAATAACCGCTCGCCTCTTGCTTCTGGCAGTCAGGGGCCAGTTGGAGGGCTTCGCTGGGAGGATCATTGTTGAGATCAGCTAGTGATTCGGATGCAGACCGCATGGTGAATAAGCACGGCTCCACGCCCCGCCTGCCATCGCGTCCCGGCCCAGTCCGGCCCTCCCCACTCCGGCCCACCATGAAAGGGTAAACAGCGGTCCCCAAAAGGCCGGTCGCTTGGAAATGGCCCCGCAGCAGGGCGAGACAGTCGCATCCTAAATCTATTTCCCAGCAAAAGCATGCAAACCACAAAATGTCGGACAGCCTCTCGCCAAAGGGCGAGGTTTGATTTATGAATTGGGCCACAAACCATTTTATCGCCTCGGTTCTACCGAGGGTGATCGCGAGCGGTGGGTTCAGGGGCAGAACACTCAGCCCGCGACACGCGAGCGTTCTGGCCCCCGGCCGGAGCCAAGCACAACCTCCCCCGGCTGCTCACGCCTGGGGCGAGGCGGGAAGCGACCGCGGGAAGCGGCGAGCAGATGTTCGCTTTATGAATGGGAGCTCCCGGCAAGGTCGCGGCCCGCGCTGCAGGCGGCCCCGGCTCCCCCCACGCCTCCCGCCCGGCTGTCTGCCGTACTGGCTGCCGCACCTCTCCTCTCCCTTCCCTTTGCCGCGCGGGGTAGAGCAAGCGCGTGGGGACGGGAAGAGCGTGCCGGGCGTGGAGCTAATAGCGAGACAGGGAGAAGGGAGAGATGGGGAAAGGAAGGGAGCACCTAAGAAGGACCCGCTGGGAAGGGTAAGAACCGCTGGGGAGGGGAAGGATGCCCTAGGCCCGGGACAAGCACTCGGAGATTGGAGCTGAGCGTGTGTTGGGTTGGGTGAGGAAGGGCAGGGCGCGCTGGAATAGGGTGTACCAAGCTGCTCTTTTCTCCTGCGAAGTTCGCGCTGGCTGGGAACAAACACTAATTCGGAAATCGTCGATTTAAAAAAAACGATGTGACAGCTGCGGTGTTGGCTCATGCTTGTAATTCTAGCACTTGGGAGAAGAGGCAGAAGGATTGCTATGAGTTCAAAGCCAGCCTAGGCTATATAGTGAGACCCTGCCTTTATATATAAAAGCAGCCGTGATGCGTACCCGAGGCCTGGAGTGGGAGCGCCCGCCAGTGCGTGGGCAGCAAAGGGGAAGGGACACAGCTGAATTCAGAGGCAGCTACCGGGCCAGACTCAGTACCTTAGGGACAGAAAACTCTAGCAGCGGTTTGGTCACCAGGAAGGGATTGGTAAAGCACTCCAATGAAGCCCAGACCTCTGCAAGGACTCCGCGGGGAACAGCGCCCAACACCAGCAGCTTGTTTCTACTCTCCTTGTCTGGGAAATTAATATTATAATAGCACTTGTATATAAGAACCAAATGTCATCATCACAAATGCAGATACTGTGGCCTCCTTTCTACACATCTTCAGTTCAGCTAAACTGGGTAGCTTGCTGCCTGCCCTCTGGCTCCAAGTTGAAGAGTCAGCCCCTGCCTGTCCAGAAGGACATCACACAGGGCTGGGAGGCCTGTCTCTATTGGCCCTCACCAAGTAATATGGTGTCCAGGTAGAAGATGAGGACAGCTCTGTCCTAATCTGCTCTCTGTGGATGAAATCCCTGTCAGGTTGTCCTACCTGCAAAGCTTTGAAAAGTCCTGGAGAAATTCACCATTGAACCCAGTGTCAAGGAGAGACACAGCATGGGTAATTGAATGATCTTAAGAAACCTTACTCCTGAATCCAGCAGGGCATCATTCAGTCCAGCTCAGTCCTGGGTCCCCCAATGACCACACTAGAAGTCATAGCCTTCAGTAAGCTCTGATTTCATGGTAAGGAGATGGGACTCTTGACCCCTGACATCATACATGTGACCCCTCTTTACTTTGTCATTTTTAGACTAAGACAGGCTACTTGGGTTTAGCTAAGGTAGCCTTCTGGAAGAGTTCATGTCTTTCTCTGCACAAGCAAGGCTTACCATGAAGCCATTCCTAGCCTGGCATAATAGTGTATGCCTAAAATCTCAGCATTCAGAAAATGCTGAGGACACTCAGTTCCAGTTCAGCCTGCACTACAGAATGAGACCCTTTTTCCACAAGTAAGCAAGCAAGCAAGCAAGCAAGCAAAGTCTGCTTTGTTTGGGCTGAGTACAACGCACATTCAATACATTAAAACCACCAAACACCCAGGCATTTCTCCTATGCCCCCAGTCACCATTCAGTTCTGTGGCCCAAGTGGACTCAGCTGTATGCAGGACTGTGACCCAGGCTCTTCCCTCATTGAGGACTGACTTCCTGCCACATCTGTATGTGAGCCACAGCTCTGATTCATCTCCTACATAACCATAATCATTATCATAACCACTGTCATCTATCAAAAATCCTGTCTGCTCCAGTTATACTGTGAACTGAACCATGTGAATACAGAAAACATCAGTTTGGGGCCAGCATGGTGGCTCAGTGGGGAAAGTGCTTGTTGAGCAAGCCTGATAAACTGACTTTGATCTCTAGAACCCATGTAAAGGTGGACAGAGAACCAACTCCACAAAGTTGTCCTCTGGGCTCCACACATTCATGCCCACACATGCACACATGTGTAATACACACACACACACACACACACACACACACACGCATGCACACACACACTAAAAAGCTGTTTTTCAGATAACAAAATTAAGGATAGAATTCATTGAACTTTAAATTTCTTCTGATTCTAGAATTCCAGTGCATTCATTGTTGCTAAGAGTGAGCAGAGGGCTTAGGGACTGAAGACTCAGCAATTAAGAGCATTTGCTGCTCTTGTAGAAGACCTGCGTTTGGTTCCCAGCACTCATGTTGAGTGGCTCACAGCACCAGGGAATCCAATACCCTCCTCTGGCCTCCATAGACAACTACACTCACACGAACATAATTGATTAAAAATTTTAAATTAGAGTGATTTATTCCACTTTAAAAATTACTTATGGGCTGGAGAGATGGCTCAGCGGTTAAGAACACTGGCTGTTCTTGCAGAAGACCGGGGTTCGAATCCCAGCACCCACATGGCAGCTAACAACTGTCCATAACTCCAGTTCCAGGGGATCTGACAGCCTCTTCTGTCCTCCTCGGGCATTGCACAACATGGGTGCACTTACCTACATGCAGGCAATACACACATACACATAAAATAAAAATAATAAATAAAATACTTAAAATAATTACTTTCAAGCCAAGTGTGGTGGTGAACATCTGTAATTCCAGCATTCAGGAGGTTGAGTGAAAAGGATTGCTATGAATCTAAGGCCAGCCTGGGCTACTAAAGAGTTCCAGCCTTGGTTACAGTGTGAGACACTGTCTCAAACAACAACAATAATTACTTTCATAAAGAAATTCGATCAGCACTCAGGAGGCAGAGGCAGGTGAATCTCTGTGAGTTCAAGGTCAGCCTGGTCTCCATATTGAGTTCCAGGTCAGCTGGAGCTACAGGGAGACCTGTCTTTAAAAGACCAAAAAGAAAGAAATTTTGCCAGAGCCTGGAGAGATGACTTTTCAATTAAGAGCACTGGTTTCTCTTGCAGAGGACCTGGGTTGGGTTCCCAGTTCCCACATTGTGGCTAAGCACTGTCTGTAACTCCAGCTCCAGGGGACCTGATGTCCTCTCCTGGCCTCCACAGGCATTTTACCCATATGGTACACTTATGTGCTGGGCAAACACTCATACACATAAAATACAAAGAAAGAAATTTATAAAGGAATTTGACCCAGCATTAGATGGCAATCTATTTTTCCAATACCTTCATTTGTACTTTTAAAGTCTGGACTGCACAGCAAGTGAGCTAAGTGGTAACATCTGCATCTCTAACACTCAGTCCTATGAAACTGGACTCTCACATAGAATCTTATTTAATCCTTAGGACATGGGAAGCAGGCATCACCACCTTTCCCTAGTGTCCACATATGCATAGTTTTACATTTTAATGTGGCTGAAAAAAAATGCCACGATTGACCCTCACTTCTCTCCCCACCTTTACCTGGGACATTGGGTGAAATGAGCATGGAAAACACATTAGTAACTAACATGCCACAACCCAAGGCCACCAGGGCAGAGAGACTCTTGTCATGAGACATTTCAGATAACATGGTTTTCACTCGTAAGTGTCCCAGTAGCTCTCAAGAGACAGACATGAATTACTGCCCTCCAAAAATAGCACAGATAAGTTAAATAATTCACTCCAGCTCACACTACAAGGTAGAGATGCAGGGGAATGCCTTTGGAATCTTTTCGAGTTCATGTTGAAGCAAAATGGAATGCCAG